AGAGACAGAAAGCAAGAAATCACCCCCCTGGGCGATGGCCACGCCACAATCCCTTCTCCTCCATTCTCCTCTCAGGATCTTGGGCACGCATGCACACGCGCCCGGCGTGAGTTTAAGCCACCGGGTCCAGGATGCGAACTGCAGTCGACTACATGGGAGTCCAGCGAGATAGCCATTACCCTAACTGCTGGTCCCAACATTATGTTCTAACATCCCCATCACCATCCCCATCTTGATGGGGAGATTTGATGGACCCTCATCAAGTCCTGGACCTGGTGCTTGCTTTCTCACTTTCCCTTTCTGCTTCTACAGAAAATGGGAATTAATACCTTTCATTGTGTCTTTCTATAAGGCAAATATTTTTAGAATTTTAAAAACTCAAGGCCAGCAGGTGCAATGGTGGTTAATAAGGTGGCTGGACTTCCATATAGCTGACTATGGTTGAAGCCCCAGAACTGGCGGCTTACTTTCTCACTTTCCTTCTCTCTGTCTCTTTGGTCAGCTTCAAAAAAATAATAATAATAATAATAATAATGAATAAAATTAAATAAAAAGTAATTTTAAAAATTATTATTTTATTTAACTTTATTTATTTATTTTAATTTGACCAGAGAAGAGAGACAGAATGAGAGAAAGGGAAAGTGAGAAAGCAAGCTGCCAGGTTTAGGACTCAAACTGCAGTCAGCCATGTGGGAGTCCAATGGCCTTAACTATGACACCACCTGCCGGCCCCCAAACATAATTCTTAAAAATAAATAAATAAAACTCTATCTTGAGGGACCAGCAGTTAGCTTATTGGCTATGTCGCTGGACTCTCAGGTAGTTGACTGTGGTTCAAGTTCTGGACCTATTGGCTTAAACTCACGCTGTACGTATATGCATGCATGCCCAAGATCCCAAGAGAATGAAAGAAGGGATTGCGGTGTGGCTATCCCCCCTGGGGGGTGATTTCTCACTTTCTGGTGAGCGCACGCGCCTTATAGCGAAAACCTCTCAAAAAAAAAAAAAAATACCCTCTATCTTGGGACTAGCAGGTGGCATGGTGGTTAAGGCACTAGATTCCCACATGGTCGACTGTGGTTCGAGTCCTAGATCAGGCGATTTGCTTCTCACTTTCCCTCTGTTTTTTCTCTCTGTCTCTCTCTGATCTAATAATAACAATAAATAAAATGGAATAATTCTAAATATAT